GTAAAATTTCATAGGAAAAAATTCTCAATGGCCATTTCCCATATCAATAAAATTGATTTTTTTATTTTTTTTAAAAAAAAAAAGAAACCAATAAATGGCAAATCACCTATATATGTTACTTCATTATGACAACATACAATTTTATAGAAGAAAAAATGTTCCACCTTATTGTTCCAAACCTACTTATTTTACTTAGAGCATCTCCAATTATGGGTGTGAATTTTAGTCTACGATGCAATTAAATAGAAAATTTTCTCTCCCGGTGGACTGAATGGACTAAGTACTCTCCAATGGTTGATGTCTGTACATATTAAATATCTATACACATTTTTTTTGTTTTCTTTTGATGTTCAAAAAAAAAAATACAAAACTTTAATTGCCGAACAAACGTTGAACCAATCACAATATTTTTGGTAGATGTCTATACATACACGGACTTCTTCCTTTTGTTGTTCTACAAATATGGATACATTGACTGCTTCCTTTTGTTGTTCTAAAAAAAATGGATACACAGACTTCTTCCTTTTGTTGTTATAAAAAAAGTGACAAAAATTTTGGGTCGAACAAATTCAACAACATCAAATCGTAACATTTTCAACAATATATATTTATATATTTCATCCTTCGTCAATTTAGTTCATAGTTTCAGAGTGAATATAGCCAAAGTATGCCTTCATTTTGAATTCGCTATCAACCATCTACACATTCATCCGTATTTTTTGTAAGAACATCTCTATCGTTGATATTCATCAAGTATCGGTATTTTTTTTTTTCAAAGACATCTCCATATTCATTATTAGTAAAGTAAAACAAGTATGATCAACAACCCCATAATTCTAGAAGCACTTTCATAAATAAAGGAAAAAAAATAGTCATCAATTCTACAAGTAAACAAATATGTCCAACCCTAGAACTCTAGAAGTACTTTCATAAACAAAGGGAAAAAATTAGTCATCAATTCTAGAAGTACTTTCACATGTGGAAAGACTTTTAGAATTATTTTGTTTCTCTCATGCCACCTCATCATCAATAAAAGCACAAAAAATGACTGCTGGAGAACTTTATTTTGTTTCTCTCATGCCACCTAGAAGTACAAAAATGACTGCTAGAGAAGTTTTTTAGCGGACAACTTCTACAATCCCACAATTAACAATCCATTGGAGAGGCTCTTAGGTTCTTTGTTAATAAATGGTCAAGAGTTTGGAGGAATTTTGTAGCAATAAAATAAATTATAAGTTTGGAATCTCACCAAGTTTTACTAATATCTCGCAGTTGAAACTAAGGGCTGCAAACGAGTCCAACGGCTCACGAGCCGCCCGCGAGCGCTCGAGTCTAAGTTCGACTCGAGCTTGAGTGGCTCGAGCACGAACTCGAATTGAGCTCGAGCCTGTATTTTGCATTGTCGAGCGGCACATTATATATATTAAATTACTAAAATACCCCTTATATATATTTAAATAGTATAACACAATTGCTTAATGGTAATTTCACTTAAAATTTTCAAGCCGAACTCGAGCATTTGATTTCGAGTCGAGCTCGAGCAATTGTATTTTCTTATCGAGTCGAGCTCGAACCTCATAAATCGAGCTCAACAGCTCGAGCTTGAGCTCGAGCAGCTAAAAAAAATTCAATCATGCTCGATAAGGCCAATACTTGACTAGACTCGAGTCATTTGGCCCTAGTTGAAACAACTAATACATTAAAATAAATAATTAAACAAATCACGAGATTAATTTAAAAGAAAATGTGGAAATAAAGGCATAATACTATGATCGCCCTGCAAGCCCAATGAACTTTATTACCAACAGCAATTAGGAAAATCCTTGGCATCAAATACCTCTCATTGCAAATGAAGTCTACAATGTAGAGAGTAAGGACCTTGTTTTTCAAGACATTAATTACTCTACAAACATAACAAGCAGCACTGTATAATCAAACCAATTGAACCACTAATGGAGCCATATGAGTTGCAAATTCAAATGCTTGCATTGACCAGAGCTTCTCACTGTATTGTATGCAACAAAAGTTACAAAACATTAAAGGACCACCAATCTAAAGCTAACAATCACAAAAAACAAACATAAGTTTGAGTATCCCATCCAGTTGCATCACAAACATAGCAAATGTGCAGACCGATTCCAATATTTTGAAGCGGTCCAAACTCCAAACGATCACTTATTTCTTTTCGAAGACAACAGCAGTATCGGGAAAAGTACAGAACATACAAACCTCAGATAGAGATTCCCAGGGACGATTTCAACTTCTCAACCTCCAAGTATACAGTTGAATAAGGCAAAAACTCTGAGAAGTGGCTTTTGCTGAGATCATTTATAGCAACGGCAAGCTTAGGGATCTCAAGTGTCTCCTCATGAGTCAAAGCCCTAACAAATTTCGCTGGATTCCCAGCCCAAAGTTCACCGCTCGGAATTCTCCGGCCAGGAGGAACAACAGAGCCCGCTTCAAGGATGGAATGTGTTTCTACCAAAGACCCCTCCATAAGGATGGAATTCTGCCCAATAATACATTCGGGCTCGACTGTGCAGGACCGCAGCAGACTGCATGCACCAATTGTGACAAACCTATCGATTGATGTTTCTGCTGGCAGACCTGTTGAAATAGCGAGGCATTTTTACTGAAGTGAATAATGTGTTTTTATTATTATTCATTGGTGCATATATAATGATTTGAAAATGAAAGAACCATTCATGTGTGGTCCATTTTTATTTACATTAAAACACCAAATCAAAGTGGTAGGCTGGTTTCGCATAGGAAAATTCATGAGTAAGTGCATATCACTCTGAGTTGATTATTTCAATCAAATACATGGTGTATTTTGGGATTCCAAGTGACATTTTGAGACTTTGAGATATGAGACTTTTTAAGATTTTCAGATTGAGGAGGAATCTTGTGATATCTTAAGTCTGGAGGTGGGATTTTATATATGGTTTTTCCTTTTGAAATCCCAGCAAATCTTAAAAATTCATAACAAATCATAATCTAAAGTAAGTTAAATATCTCAGGATTTTGCAAGATTGTTTAAAATCTCAAACGAACACATCTGAGACTTTTAAAAGTCTTAAAAATTCTAAATTAAATACACCAGGATTTCTGAAGTCTCAAAAGTCTTTAGAAATCCCAAACGATTTTTTACTAATAAAGGAAATTCTGAACTTAAAGAGTAATCAAGACAAACATTTTTTGACTAACTAATGTCTTAAGATAACAAATGGAAGTGCTATCCAGATACAGCCCCCACCCCCGCACCCCCCAACCAAAGTCTAATACCTGATTGATTCGAGAACACAAATAAAGGTCAAGGATAGGATATAGAGCTTTGTAGTGGTTTTTAAAGGGAAATTTTGTTCCTTCTCTACGTGCTTCCTAATATTCATTAAAAGAGCCCGAGAAATCTCTTTACTGGTAAAAACAAGTGCATACAATGAAAAAAAAAAAAAAAAGAGAATTGGTTGGCATAATACGTGAACTACTAATCTACTATTATGAACCATATGTTGCAAAGCTCATTCTCTGAACCCTACACCAAATGAGACTGTTCTACAACTGTACTCTTGTATACACAACAGACTGACCAAAACAAGCTAATGAAGTCCCATTTACATTTCGTACGATATATCTCGCATTATTAAGTCGTACGGCACAAAACAAATTCTTAATTTGACAGTGTGAAAATGCATTGCAGTAACTGGTTAGTCACAACTCACTACTCTGGATAGTCTTAAAATGTACAACGTTATTGAGCAAAGAACAATTTATCAATCAAATACCTACTCGAGAAGTTAAGTTAAGATACACCTTAAAACTAGGGTTGCAGAAGAATCGAGCTGCTCGCAAACTTCTCGCTAGCGCTAAAGTCAACACTCGAATCAAGCTCGAGTCTGACCAAGCTCGAGCACCTCGAATTTGCACTCGGGTTGAGCTCGAGCCTGTAGTTTGTAAGCTCGAGTGCCCGACGAGCTGCTCCAGTATACATAAAATTGCCTAAATATCCCTAACTAGACTTTTTATTATTGAAATTTCAACCGAACTCGACCGCTGACATTGTTTTGCCAAATCGAGATGAGCCTAAAAATATTTGGTTCGTGGAGTTTGAGCAACGGTCTATGCTCGATCGATAAGGTCAATTCTTCACTTGGCTCGGCACATTTCAAGCCCTACCTAGAACACATATAAGAGTGCACGGAAGGCCTATAGAGGCATCATTTTGTTATTATGATATGACTAATACTATCAGTTGCTAACTAACATAGATACAGCTCTAAGCACGACCATATTACCGGATAGATTAGCTTTCACAACCATATTGCCTCATATTTTTTTATCTAGGTAGTAATAGATTGAGATAATGTAACAAAATTTCCAGCTATTAAGAATGTGGTATGGAGATCAGATGCCTAACATTGAGGAGGTCCCCCAATCCCATCAGACCAAAGTTTAAAACATGGTCAAATTCAAAATTATTTCCTTTAGTGAAACAGTTATGTTCTTGGACTCAGGTGTGTGTGTGTGTGTGTGTGTGTGTGCTGTGCGTTGGGCGGGAGGGGGGGTGTTAACCCAGGTGAAACAGATGGGGTACATCCAAAATCACAATTGAAAGCAATAAGCTTCTTTGTTGTTTATAGTGCTTCATATTTTCAACCTGATTCCCAAGGCCAAATCAAGAGCCTGAAATGGTAGAGTGCATTGATATATTTGTCAGAGCCTCTAGTTTGTGTTCCTATTAAGAAAATAGATAAATAATGTTTGATCTCCCTATTAGAAATATATCATTTTGAGCATTGTTTGGCTCGAAATTCAATAGTGACTTATAACTTTTGTATCCACTGCTGTACTAAAGAAGCAATTGATGCAGTACTTAAATAATATTTCACAAGGTACCAAGGAGGGGTCCAGTATGAACTTTTGTATCATTTTGAGTATGAACTTTTGTATCCTTCAGGCATTTTAAATAATACATAAATAATATTTCACAAGGTACCAAGGGAGGGTCCAGTATGAATTTCATAACAACCTTCTCACTGTATAGTGTATGTCATAGAGTACGAGTCAGCGCAGGGCATAAGCACAGCAGGACCTGAAGGAAAAGCTACATTATTGTTTTGGTCAATAGCCCGAATGTAGTGGTTGGGACTTATCCGATGCCCCTAGGAACCTTGAACATGTCTCATGTGTTTGCCAGTAATTTAGATCCCTAACTGTTGTCATAGTTAGCCAAATACCAGATACTTCAAAAGGACTGATCAAATGGACAATAGCATAGTACCGAAGAACAATTCTCTTCCTAAAAGACAGATTTTAGCACACCCTAATTCCTCCAAAGTCCAAACTAGGAGATGCAGACTATGGAAGCAAATAAGGGGAGAAGAGAGAGAGAGAGAGAGAGAGAGAGAGAGAGAGAGAGAGAGAGAGAGAGAGAGAGAGAGAGAGAGAGAGAGAGAGAGAGAGAGAGAGACAGAAAGAGAGAGAATATGACGTTCAAGATCAAGTTCAAGTGATTGAATTATTCTGAACAAGTAATAAATCAAATCCCAAGTACCAATCGAAAAGAAAAAAATATCAGATCCCGCGTACGATATTAAAGCAGCTCCAAAAGACTATTATTTGGATTTTCCAGTCAGTCCCAGTCAAGATAGCTAGTATTTTGAGCAAGTCAATGATGGAACCTAGTGAAAAGGCATACTATTTTTTACATCTTAGTCATCCTTATCAGATCATGCACCAAGGATCCAAAAGCAGATCAACTAATGCAGTTGCAAGGTTAAACAATGAAGTATCTGTTCTTGTTGACCACTTTTTTTTATTATTTTTTAGCATAAACTCTGAATGTAACCCCAAAAAGAACACTGTATTGGATTTATTATGTAATATTCACCATAATGTTTTTCCACACATATAGAGATAAAATCACAATCAAACCATGTCAATGTCAAATTGCCAATGGCATCAGTTTCGTGACAAACCGGAATTTCTCATAGCCAAACATAATAAATACTGTCAGAAACATGGTACTCTAAAGAATTAACACAGGAAACAGCAGAAGAGGTATTATTTCCTTCCATTCTTGTGTTACAAGTAACTGCGTTATTGATTGTAAATCACGTTGGGGCAAACTTATATACTGATCCTTAAAATCATTAACGACATATTCACTATTTTACTACAGTAAGAAACTTGATAACTTAATCAGACGAATACATGAAACAGTGAATGAAACATAATGAAAATTATGTTAATTTCTAACTATAATTTCTTCACCTAATTATTATTTATTCACAGAAATATAACTCATCAAACATAAAGCCTTTATGTGAAACTCTGGATTCTGTTCAAAATACATTCTCTTAATTTCTATAGAAATAGAACCCAAACCAATATCATACTCAAAGCTTCTTCCATCTATTGAAACTGAAAGGTCGCTATTTCTGTAATTTTATGAAAGAGTTAATTACCACTCGTTAAACCACATATAAAAAAGACATCAAATAAGAAAAAAGTCAGTGAATCAGTACAAACAATTCAGACTCACTGGAAATGATACAACTACAATAACATCTTGGCCTCTTCTTATGAAGAAGCACATTATATAGTAAGTAGGATAAATATGTATCCAACATTGAGAACCGAAGTCTTCATTGTATTCAGATATCTGAG